TCCCCATGGAGGGATGGTATCCACCTGGTGCTGTTTGACAGCAGAGTCCCTGTGCGTTTGGTCCCCATTCTTTGAGAGGAGCCGTCTCTTCTACCGCAGACCCTCCTAGAGAAGGCTTTTTGTGTGCTTAACTTGGTATCCCCTCTGCTTTTCAGGCAGCTCCAAGGTCTGAAGCTGTGGGGCTGCTGAAGGATGCTGACCTGCGGGCAGCCCTGGACGTGCTGCGGTGTTACGACTTGCACTCGATCGTGGAGGAGTGGTTCATTGAGGTGCTGCAGACGGACCTTCAGGCGAATATAGCTCCCGAGTTCTGGAACTGCATTGGCCAGTATGAAAACACGGCTGAGGAGCCCCAGTGCTCCTCGCTCCTTCTGGATGCGTTTTGTCTTCTCAAGTGCCGCCTGGACCCCTACCTGAACAGCCTGGAACTTCTGGAGAGGTGGACCAAGGCAGGCTTGCTCCTGGGGACAGGCGCTCAGGTGCTGCAAGAAAAGGTCTACACCATGTTCAAAGCTATCCTTTTTTTCTCCACTACCAAGTCCTTCCAGGAAATGATCCAGCAGTTCTACAGCCGCACTTTCAGGATATACATGCGGCAGTGGAAGAAAGGAGAAGATGGAATGAACGAGTGCGAGAGCAGCATGAGTGAGACTGAGCAGGAGAGCGACACGGAGGAGGGCGGAGGAGAGAGCCCGCTGTGCGCAGGCTGCAGCAGCAAGAGGGAGCAGTGTTGGTGTCCCAAAGCCATGGAGCAGTTTCAGCAGCTCAATGACATTCTGTACGTAGGTTATGGGGTGGTGGCTGTCACTCGGAACAGATGATCCGGATGGGGAGCAGCAGCAGGTTTTCTTGATACCTGAAAACAGGAGGAGTTACGTGTGAGGTCAGGCTGTGTCATAGTACTGGCTAGAGAACTTGACACAGGGTTTCTGCAGCTGGTTGTTGAACTAGAGCAGATCTTTAGACAGAAGGTTCCTCTCCCTGGACGTGCGAATATCTTCCTCTTGCTCTAAGGCCTTCTGTCCACAAAGCAGCACACTCTTCTAAATGAAAAATCTTTTGATGGCTAGAAAATAACGTTTAAGGAAGATGGGATAGCAGTAGTGTCATGTGTTATATATGTAGCGCATGTGGCTATCGCAGCATTTAAACTAAGAGTTATGCCTGCATCTGTGGATCACAGAGGGAGGAAGGTGCCTTCAGGTAGTTAGATTTTCTTTATTTGCTTGTGCCTTTGCTTCCATACGCTCTGAATCAAGTCACTGTTTGTGTCCGTAGCCGCCGGCTGAATTTGCTGGAGAGAGTGAGCGCCGATGCTGTCACGACCATCTTGCACCAGATGATAGAGGAGAGGATGGAGCAACGATGCAGGGGGGAGTACGAGCACTCCTTCCTGAATGAGTTCCAGGAGGTAAGGCAGGCGTGCGGGCAGCGAGGGCCCTTCCTTTGGAGATGTGCAGCTGCACCCGTTACTGGTTTAGCAGCTCAGGCTAAAAGCAGGTTTCACCTGAAAACACCTTGTCCTGGGCTGTGACTCCCACCATCCCTGGCAGAAGAAGTGGTTAAAATGCCCCATTTTGATTTAATGCCACAGGGGAAGGCTTGCTCTGGCCTGTGCCTAATGGACCATTGTATTTCACCTGGTGATGGCTGTAGTAATGAGAGAATTTCTGTGGTTCCGTTTTACAAACTACAAGAACACGTAGTGCCACCTAGCCTGCAGAGAACCCTCCCTCTGTGAGGTGGGCTCATAATTTCAATCTGTGTGGCTGTTTTCTTTCTTCTTTCTAATTTTTCAGCATCCCTTTAAAATAGGAAGCGAAGATGGGAGGTGATATGCTGGTATTGATCTCACCAATGGGCCAGATACAGAATTAAAATCTTACCCAGCTGTTTTCCTGCTACTTTAAACCACATTTGTGTTGGGCTGTTTATCCAGTATGACCTTAAAATGAAATTCTTCTCTGGGTTATGGCTCTTCTGGGATACAGTCCCAGCTCTACTCTCTTTATTCCTCGATGCATGACCTTGCCGTTGCCCGTGTTGAAGAACAATGCGTGAAGTCAGGTTGCCATGCAAACCAGACTGCTCTCAATGGTTGTCCTAGTTTCCTTGCTGTTTGCCATGCCGGCCGTTTTTGTTGTCTGCAAACATGGGCAGTCATTTTGTATTTACTTCCCTTTAGTTGCTGCGCAACACTTTCTTCATTGGACCTAGTGTGAAATGCTTTTGGATGACCTGGCGATTGTCAAGGACATTTTAAGGGCACCAGAGAAAATGCAACTGCATTCCACTTGTCAGACATTGCAGAAAGTCCCCTTGCTCCCCCCTCTTTAGAAAGGCCAGTTTGTTTGGCCGCAGAATATTGGAGCATGTCAGAATTAGGAAGAGACAATTTAAAAAAAAAAAAAAAGTAGAAGTGGTATCTAAATTGGGAAGATATTTCAAAAGAAGAGAAAAAGCACAAGCCTGGCAAGCTAAAGGTAAAATAGGAGAAGACTGAGAAGCAGCTTGCTAAAAGTACAGCTGCTGACAGCAAACCCCCTTTTCAGACACACCAGCAGCAGCCTGGAGCGTCGGTCGCTAATCAGGCTGTAACAGGGCACTCAGAGAAGATAAATTCATGGGGAAGGATGGGTTGGTTTGATAATAATTGTTTTCCTTAAAATTGAGTTGCTCTGCACCAGTTATAGTCCTTTGCTTTTGTCCTGTAGGAGAATTCTTTATCAGCTTTTCCACAGTTTTGCCCAGATCGATGCTCAAGTGTTCTGTAGTTCTCAGGTTCATCCTGCCTTGTAATTAGCAGAACTTGAGCATTTCTTCAGTGTTTCCTCAGTCAAGTAGATAATTAAAAATTAACATCAGCAAACCAGACCTTGACTTAGCATTTTTGTTTCAGGCTGTTGGAATCTGGTTATCAAAAATTGTTAATATCTAGTAGCTATTAGTACTCAATTACTATCCCAGGAAGTACCACACATTTGCCAGCTTAAAGGGGAAATTTGAAAAAAGCATTTCTTTTGAATATCTGGATATTGTAGTTGAATACTTTTGAAATTTGACAATTAAACACTTCTCTATAGAAAACGAAATCTCAAATATAAAAATTAACCTTCTGATGGTCTGTGTTCAGGTTTTTATTTTATTATTTGGTGACTAGGCTGGTATTTGAGGTCTTGGTTTCAAGTGCCTGAGTTTTGTTATCAAGAGTATGTCTGTGAGTCCGTGGGATGGCTTGCTTGCTCTTGATTGATTTCAGGAATCATAGAAATTTTGGGCCACGGATGGTGTCATGGGCAGTTTGCTCATATTCTCATAAAGAGAATAGTTCTTCTGCAAGTATAGAATGGTATGGAATTCTGCAAGAATAGAATAGTTCTGCAAGTTTTGAATATACCCTATCCTTTTTGGAGCCCAGCACCTATGCACAGTATGTCTTCTCATACACATCTGCATAGCCTATATCCTGTACCTTTAGTTAACATTCATATTCTTTCAGCTAGGTTTTCCCTGGCTATAACCCAGGCCGGGTGCATTTGGAGAGCAGCTGGAGGTAATGCTGCCCTTGGCTGGCTGCTCATTTTTGCTTCCTGTGGTAACTGCTGGTGATGGGGTAAGCGCAGGACGTGGTTGTGCATCCAGCCCTGGTGTTCATCATCTCTGTGCTCTCCCTCTCCCTGTGCAGTGGATTGAGAAAGTGATTGGCTGGCTCAGCAGAGTTTTTCTGCAAGATGGTCCCTTGGCACGTTCCTCTCCAGAAGCTAGCAGCACCTTGAAGCGCTGGCGGTGCCACGTCCAAAGGTTCTTCTACCGCATCTACGCCAGCATGCGCATTGAAGAGCTCTTCAGCATTATTCGAGGTAGGTGTGACCCATTCAGTGTTGATTCACTCTTGGGCTCGGATTGAGCTGTCTTCATCTCCTGATGTGCCACGCTGTCTCCTCTTGCCTTCCCGTGGAGCATGGCACTGTTTCTAATCACTGCTTAGTCTGTAGATTTCCCAGAGTCAAAGCCGGCTGTGGAGGACCTCAAGTTCTGCCTGGAAAGGACTAATCAGAGGCAGCAGCTCCTCAGCTCCCTGAAAAGTGCTCTGGAAATGCGACTTCTGCATCCTGGTGGGTTTTTCATCGCCATGTATGTTACAACACTGTAAGGAGCCTGGGCATGAGTGGGGATCTGCTGGGAGCCATCATCTCATTCTGCTTTTGATGACTGAGAGGCAACCAGGCTGTGCACATCGCGTGCTCTCTGTGTTGGAGTGTGCATGGGCAGCAGTAGCTGATTATATCCTAGCTTCTTTTTGCCTCATTTTTCCAGTATGGTGAGGAGCTGAGCTAGAAGTTTAGCTTTGGTCCAGGTAAGTAAAGGTTTCTCTGCTGTGTGTGGTCTGAGCTCCTAACACATGGTCTGGCTCAGCTGGTTTATAGTAGTCTATGAGCCCGCGTTTGTAGTTGCTACTGGTTTCAGAGACGTACAGATCCGATCTCTCCCTTTGGCTGGGGCAGTAGGGCAGCAAGCCCTTTGCCTCCAGCTCCATAGATTGAACAGAGGGCTTGGAGCATCCAAGCTCCTTGCATCCAAGCCGTTAGTCTGTGCTGTGGGACTCTGACTCCCTCTGCCCTCTCCTGTAGGAGTCAACACATCCGACATCATCACTCTGTATATCTCGGCCATCAAGGCCTTGCGGGAGCTTGACCCCTCCATGGTTATCCTGGAGGTCGCCTGTGAGCCCATCAGGAAGTATCTGAGGTAAGAGGCTTGCGGGGCAGCCTTACGCATCCCCTCTCCCTCCCCTTCCCTTCACTTGCTCTGTTTCCCTTGCCTGTTGGCAGGACTCGGGAAGACACGGTGCGGCAGATTGTGGCCGGTCTCACGGGCGATGCTGAGGGCTCCGGTGATCTTGCAAACGAGCTCTCGAAAGCTGACCCGGTGACGCTGGAGAATGGCCAAGAGAGTGATGATGACATCTCAGAACCGGCGGACTGGGTTCCTGACCCGGTTGATGCAGATCCAGGTTAGATGCCAAGACCGGAAGTCCTGGCAGCCTGCTGCTTTTCCCCGGTGGCCTGTAGTCTTGAGCAGCTCATCTGCTAGTCCTCTAGAGCTGAGCTGGGGCAGGTCTCTCTTAAACTTGCACTGTGGTCTGCTGGATTTCACTAGGAAAATCAAGTTCCAAACGTCGGTCCTCAGACATCATTAGTCTGCTGGTGAGCATCTATGGCAGCAAGGACCTGTTTATCAATGAATACCGCACGCTTCTGGCTGACCGGCTACTACATCAATTCAACTACAGTGCTGAGAGGTGAGGTCCAAATGCCCAACCCCAGGGCTTTGCAGGTAAAATCACCTGATAAAGGTGTCCTTCAGACTCGGTCCTATGAACAGCTGTTTCTGGAGCCAGGAATGTCTTTGGCCATTTCCTCTGCAGCTCTGGGTTTGCATCTAGAATTTCATGCTCTCACTTATTCTTGGGCTGCTTCCTGCTCAGTCCTACCCTTGGCTTGCACTAATAGGGCAGAATGTAGGAAACTGGAGGCCACCAACATCCTCTTAGCTCCATCCCACATGTTCTGCTGGTCCTCACAGCCTGCACAGGCTGCTTAAGGTCAGCAGAAAGTGTCAAAGTAAGAAGGGATGAAGCATCGGGAAACCTCTGTTGCAACCCAGCTATGTCTCTTGATTTGACAATGGCAGTGGTTTTCCTTTCAGTGAAATGCAGTTAGTGTGAGCCATGTCTGGGATGGGCAGTCTCAGGCGAATGGCTCACCAAATGCTGAGCTTGCACGGTGTCATCAAGGGGGATGGCTAGGTGCCGTGCTCATCCAAATGAAAGGCATGGGAAGGTCTTCAAAAAGCTGCTGGCCTACAGAGGATGTGACTGTTCCGCACCTGGATGCTAGGATGTGTCCTGCTCAGATAACGTGCCTTGGAAGGCTTCCTAGGAAGAGCACCCTTGTGCCAGGGACCAGATTTTTTGGCTGTGTTGCAAGGGGTGGAGGCCAGGCCAGCCTAGTCTGAGGGACCTGTGTCTGATCTGTTGTTTCTCTTGTCAGGGAAATCCGCAACGTGGAGCTGCTGAAGCTGCGGTTTGGCGAAGCTCAGATGCACTATTGTGAAGTCATGTTAAAAGTAACTTTTTTTCTAAATTCAAGTCCTGAGTGTTTGAGCTCATTGGGGAAGGGGAAGGACTTGAGGAGCGACGCAAAAAGGGTCTTTTAGGAAAGTGGGGTTCCCAGAATCCCAGCGAGGTGGCTGATTTGTGACGGGCAGAAGTGCATTCAAAATCATGTCTTTTTTTAAGCCCTGTGGGTTGGGTTATTGATTCTGCAAGATGGTTGCTCTGGTGCTGTTGTCTCTCCTGCCCTTCCTGCAGTACAGTGTTCTGGCATTGAAGAGCTGGGCTCTTCCAGCTCCTCTAGGGTTGGGACTCTGGAGTTTAATTCACTTGGAGCACTGTGGGAAGATGGTAAGTCTGGAGGGACTCCAGTGTAGGCTAGTGCTGAGCTGTAAGCCCTTCTGCAACCTCCCCACAAATGTTTCTGAGAATATAGCAGACTTCCTTAGTGGCTAGTAGACACAAATGATCCTTTCCAATGTCCCCATCATCATTTGGAGACAACGTTAGTCACCCTGTTTAAGCTTCTAAGGGTTAGCACTGACTTGGAAGAGAAGGAGCTGCCTTAGCTTCCTCTGCCTTTTCCAGGATATGGCTGACTCGCGACGCATCAATGCCAACATTCGTGATGAGGAAGAAAAGCTCCCAGAGGAGGAGAGGCCACCGTTCAGCCTTGTTGCCGTTATTCTGTCTAGTGAGTTCTGGCCGCCACTGAAAGAGGAGAAGCTAGAGCTTCCAGAGCAGGTCAAGGAAGCCATGGAAGCCTATTCTAAAAAGTATGAGAAATTAAAGGTGAGGCAACCTTTACCCTCCTTAAAAAAGGTGTATGATGTACAGACTTTGTTATATAGCATGGTTTTTGGAAAGTCCCCTTTAACTTCCCTTGAATTTTAACTGCTACTACACACACACTGTTACAGTGGAATCAGAAAGTCCTTCAGCTTTGAATCAGGGTTAGAAGCTGTGCTAGCTTAATTATTGCTGAAAGAATGATTTACCTCTTCATGGAGTGCCTGAGTTGCAGTAGTGATTCACAGAATCACAGGATGGTAGGGGTTGGAAGGGACCTCTGAATATCATCTGGTCCAACCCCCCTGCCAAGGCAGGATCGCCTAGGGCAGGTTGCACAGGAATGCGTCCAGTTGGGTTTTGAAGGTCTCCAGAGAAGGAGACTCCACAGCCTCTCTGGGCAGCCTGTTCCAGTGCTCCGTCACCCTCACAGTAAAGAAGTTTTTCCTCATGTTGAGGTGGAACTTCCTGTGCTGCAGTTTGTGCCCATTGCCCCTCCTCCTATCACTGGGCACTACTGAAAAGAGACTGGCTCCATCCTCCTGACAGCCACCTCTGCAGATATTTATAGACACTGATAAGGTCCCCTCTCAGCCTTCTCTTCTCCAGACTAAACAGCCCCAGGTCTCTCAGCCTTTCCTCATAGGAGAGATGTTCCAGTCCCAGATTGCAGTTAGGGAAGAGAGTTTTCTAAAATGTGCCAATGTTTGTTAGTTAAATGGATACTGAGGTGGAAGTTCTTGGCATCTAAGTCTGGTCTAAGCTTGTTGTCTGAAGTTCTATAGTAGTAAGAATGACATCCTGTCCCTGTTGGGCCCCTCTTCTTCAGTGCTTTGGCACTTTCCTCCCCTGTTTGTCCTGTTGAAAAGCAGTTCTTTTTAACATGGTCTCATTTTAAGATTTGCTTTCAATCTGGAATTAGATGAGTGTTGCTTCCTCTTCTGTCTGTGGTCTCTCCTGGGTTGTTTCATTCATTTCTGGAGGGTCGCTGGACTCCATGTTAGGCAGTTCAGGTGCAAGCATTTTTGGTCAGTTTGACTGTGGCTCAGACTGAATCCATGCCTTTATAAACAGCACGGAAAGGTGGAAGAGGCACATGCAGACCAAACACATGCAACCGTGCAGTATTCTTCTGTTCTCCAGGCACTTGATCATGGCAGTTAGAGAAGGCTGAGGAGCATCTTGCTCTGCACATACAGAATGGGTTGGAAGCAGGAGCATCTGTTTGGAAGTCAAGGAGAGATCCAGGTCACTTCCAGAACTCTGGTCCTGGCTTTCTCATCTTGCAGCTTCTTATCTGGTGGAGTGATGAATGAGCATGGATGGTTCAGATCTAGCTGCCGTGCCAGTGTAGTGTCTGTGTGCACACACAGATGGTTCTTTGCAGCCAGCACGAACATAATTTGGTGTCTCATGCAGATGTTCCTCTTTGCCAATCCACTTGTGCTCTGACCCCACTTCACGCTTGGTTTTCTTTATCCTTTCTTGAACTTGTTCTTACACACCAGGTGGTACATGCCATGAGGCTGAAGCTCATAGCTCTAGACCCTGTCTCTTCTCCTGCTGTAGCTGTGCCAGATGTGGATGCCAGATGACTTCTGTGCCCGCAAAAAATTAGTTAGGAGCGGATGCAGGAGGGGATGCAAGGAGGGAGCAGCCTCCTTGAGCATCCTCAGTATTCAAAGCAAGCAGCACTCTTTTCACATCAGTGTCAGAAGAGATCACTTCTCTTTCGAGGAAGTCCTGCCCCAGATGAGTATTTTCGCATAGGAGTTTGTCCTGAGGGGCCCAGTTGGTCTTCCAGTGTTTCCTCAACCTGTGCTTACCCTACCAGAGAGCTGAGTGGCTGGCTTTCAGGCAGGAGAGGGGCACTGGTCTTGGGCAAGGGCTGAACAACAACTTGTGCTGAGGAGGCTGTTTCCCATGAGGGGCCAGGGAACGGCTGGGTGGTGGCAGTGCTGGGCGACTCGTGAGGAGGGGAGCAGCTTTTGTGTCTGGCAGAGGTGTATGGAGCGCAGCTGGCCCTGGTGGTAGAGGGGCGTTTGCAGCACTTAGGGGTTCCTGTTAGAAGATCTGCTGTGAGCAGCTGCTTCCCCCTTTTCCAGGCCATGAGGACCCTGAACTGGAAGTACCACCTGGGCCTGGTGAGCTTGGATGTGGAGCTGGCAGATCGCACCCTCTCCCTGTCCGTCTCTCCTGTGCATGCTGCCATCATCCTGCACTTCCAGACCAAGAGTGAGTGCCATGGCAGAGGCAGCATTACCACCCATGTCTGTGTACTTCCCGGGGTGGGTGGGAAAGGCCACGTTGCTCAGGTGGTTGAAGGCTCTGAGAGCTCTGGCAGCAGGACCAAGACCTGGTTCATGGCCATGGGTCTACCACGGGGCTCAGCCCGGTTTCCAGCTCTCCTAGGAGACAGCACCCAGCAGGACCACAGCTCAGCACCCAGTCTGCTTTCGGGCAGTTGCTGCACACCACTGCTTGCTCCTGGTAGTGGCTCCCCAGCCTTCCTCATCCTCTTATTAAGTCCTGGCATGCTGGAGGTGGGCAGGTGTCCTGTGCTTTTCCCTGATATCTGTGGTCTCTGCAGGTACGTGGACACTGACAGAGCTGAGTGAAGTGCTCAAGGTGCCCGTGACATCGCTGAAGCGGAAGATGACGCTGTGGCTGCAGCAGGGTGTCCTGCGTGAAGATCCCCAAGGCACCTTCACTGTGATTGAGGAGGAGCAGAAGGACCAGGTGGAGAAGGTTGTTCTGATAGACAGTGACGAGGAGGGGGACTCTGCCATGGCGTCGCAGGCTGACCAGAAAGAGGAAGAGCTGCAGGTACCCATCCGTGTGTCTCATCTGCTTGCAAAGCTGGCAGGACAATGCAAACATCCCTTGCTTTTGGTTTTGGGCAATCTGATTAAGATGATGGATTCACTTTGCATTTGCATTTTCCACTGCAAGTGACTAAGTCCAGCATGAGGGGTTTTTGAAGTAGGTATCTCTTGGTTAATGCTCGCTGGTGCAGGTGCTGGATGGCAGTCTTCCCTCCAGAAAAGTGCCCGACTGCTGAGCCAGGCAGCCAGTTGGACACGTCTAAATATGTTTTTTCAGCTTAAAAAAAGAAAAAGTCTGAGACATGATTTCATATTTTAAAGTACTCAGAACTTACTTGGAGTCACCCAAGCAGCGCTTTTTGGCACTTACACTGCCAAAAAGGCTTACCCAGCACTTAGAGCTGGACCCTTGCCTTCCCTGTGTTGTGGTTCCTAGAGACTTCCAGTGCTTTTCCTGCCCGTGTGTCAAGTTGTGTGTGCGTTGTGCCACTGTGCAGCACAGAGGTGTCATACTGGTGTTTATCCACTGAGGGTCATGCACGTACTGCATGTTAAATCCTGCTTTCTAGCTGTGTGTCCCAACACCTGATGTTCTCCGTGGATATTTCCTGTTTAAAGACCACATGCTCACGGCTGAGAGCAGAACGTACTGCCAGCTACAGCCCTGCTCTGCTTTTGGGATATGGGATGCTAAAGCACCCCTTTTCTTCGTGGTATAGATGTCAGTGTGGTTTACTGTTGCTCACGTGTCCCCCTCTGCAGCTGTTCTGGACGTACATCCAGGCTATGCTGACCAACCTCGAGAGCCTGTCCTTGGAGAGGATTCACAGCATGCTGAAGATGTTTGTGATGACAGGCCCAGTGGTTACAGAAATCGATATACAAGAGCTGCAGGGTTTCCTCCAGAAAAAGGTCCGGGACCAGCAACTCATCTACTCCGGAGGCGTCTATCGCCTGCCCAAGAACTGCAACTAGACTGCAAGCGTCCCTGCTGTCCCCTCTGTGTCGCTTCTCTGTGCCTGTGCCCACCTCTGAGTGCCACCCAGCTCTCTACCTCCTGCTGGGTAGTTCTTCTGCTCTGGGGGTTTGCCATGCCCTCTTCCCCCCAAAGGGTGTCCTTTTCCACATGGAGACAGCTCAGCAGCAGCCTGGGTCATGCACCCCACAACTTCTGGGACTGGGCCTGCTCCCCACGTTCTTTTCCTCCCATACGTGAGTGTCTGGGCCTGCTTCAGTGGTTAATAAAAACCAGCAGTCTCCTTTTTCAGCTGGTACCAACTCTTCTTTTCCTCTTGGCAGAGCACTCTTGGCATCAGCCTTCCCACGCTCAAAGGGCAGGCAGGGAACTCCCTCGTCTGCCGGGCACCATCCCCCTTTCATTGGGTCTCCATCTGTAGCCCTGGGAGGTTTTGGGAGGGGGGCTGTTGTCTCCAGCTGCTGTCTGGGTCTCTTTGTGTGGCTAAAGCAGCATCTTGCAGCTGGCTATGATGAGCAAGACCCTACACAAAAGCAAGTGTTCCTGCTGTCTCCTTTGGCTTATGTGGGAGGAAGACTCCAGGGTCCGCTTACCCTTTTTTTGGGACTCTTAAACTGTGTGGAATAATTTTATTGTGGGATGAAGAACGCCTTAGATGGATGAGACGTAGCAGTTCTTCAGGGCAAGCTGTTTAGTCTCAGAGGATAAGTGGATTATCCGGGCACTGGTAGGTTTGCTTTACTATGGCACGAATACACGTCCCCCTTCTAACGCCATGGTGGCGGCCCTCGAGGGTGCACCGTCCTGGTGCTCCAGCGTTAGGGACGGCGCTGAGATCGGCGAGATTGGGTGGGATAATCCCTGAGCTCTGACCCCAACCTGGGTATCAAGCAATGGGTTTCAGGACTGTATTCTCTATCCACTTAATAGCACTCAGCCTTCCTGCTTTTTGGGTGGGTTTTGCTCATTAGGAGGAATATGCTGGGGAAATCTGGCTTTTACTAAAAATCTGCTTTCTGTGGAGCGAAGAATGAGTTTCCACAGTGCAGGGAGTCTTTTCTCTCCTCTGCTGAATCCTCTATCCCAGTCTGCGGGCACTGCAGCAAGCTGGAGTTGAGACACCAAAGGGCATCATTGAAACACTGGAGCAGCCCTGGCTGTGCATCCAGGGAGACTTGCGAGATATAAAAAACAACCCGTATTTAATACATAACCTTGTTTTTCAGTGCCTGAAGGCCCAGAAGCCCCACGCTGTGGGCATCCTTCATGCAGCCATAGACAGTGGAGTACGGTGCTTATCCCCCCTTATGCACATTCACGTGTTCTCCTCTGCGGGTGAGAGCACGTGGTGGTGTTTCCCCGTGGCACTTCACTCCAGGCTGGTGGTGGTGTGGCACTAGGAGCTGGTTGGCGTGTTCGATTGTGAAGCTTAAAATGTTTCTTGGGCTGTAGGGCCTCTGGTAATAACTAAATAAACCCCAATTGTGAACGTGTAGGATATTACTGCAGGTAAAGCCAAGAAAGATGAACAGCAGCTAATGCCAAATCACAGCAGGCAAGGGAGGGAAACCTATGCGAGAACGTGTGAGGAGCCCCACCAGACCCTGCTAGGACACCCGGCTGGATCTGTTGTCCTTTGAGGCTGGGTGGGATGGCCAGGACACGGCACTGGCCTCGTCATCGCTGTGTCCAGCATGGGATGTGGCTGGGGACATCCCTCGGAGCCGCACCTGGGGCTCGCGTGTCAAGGACAAGAGGCACAAAATCGCGTTGCACTGCATGCAGCTCGTTTAACCCCAGGCGGAGGTCCCTGCTGCCTGCTCGGTGCTCCTGGTGGATTTTCCCTTGCAGAAAACACCTCCTGGGGACTCCTCCAAGTTCCCTCAAAGGCTGCTCAGCTCCTCATGCCTTTGCTCAGCTCTTGCTTAGATCCTCACCTG